ACGAAACTTGAACAAGTCTCTTTGGAGAACGTCCTGCTGCTTCTGCTCCAGCTCCTCCATGTCCCAGCTCACCGAGGCGAATCGGCCGGCCAGCCACTCACGCCGCTCGCGGGCGAGCCAGACCAGCGTGTCCGCGGCCAGCTCCGGGGTGTCGGTCAGGACGGATTGCCGCTCCGGGGGCATGTGCATGGCCAGCTCGGTCTTGACGGCGCCCGGATGGAGCGCGATGGCGATCAGCCCCTGCCGGCGGTATTCGGTGTCCATGAACTCGGTGAGGCGGCAGAGGGCGAATTTGGTGGTCTGGTAGGCCGACGCCCCCGGAAACATGACATGGGCGCCCCCGCTGCTGATGTTGATGACCGTCTTCGTCGGCGACCGGAGCAGCAGCGGAACGAAGAAGTGGGCCGCGAGATACGTGCCCTTGATGTTGACCTCCCAGGTCCGCCACCACTCGCTCGGCTCCGAGTCGGTCAGGGGCTTCCACTCCTCCAGGTAGCCCGCGTTGTTGATCAGGACATCGAGCCCGCCGCCGCCGAGCCACTCGGCCGCGGTCGAGGCGGCCGCGCGCACCGAGTCTTCCGAGGTCACGTCTACCTTCAGGGACCGCACGAATGGCTGGGCCCGCTGGGCCTTCACGGCGGCGGCGTGGACGGCCGCCTCCACCTCGCTCAGGTCCGATCGCGCCAGCAGCAGGATCGTCGAGCAGCCCGCCAGGGCAAAGCGGATCGCGGCCGCCTTGCCGATGCCCTTGGAGGCCCCCGTGATCAGGACCGACTTGCCCGCCAGGTCGGCGTGGGCCGGGTCGATGAACGGGTACGTGTCCTTGCGCGTCGAGACATAGCTAGCCACCGCAGGCCAGTTTGCCAGGGAGGGATCTTGGGCCGACATGGTCGTTGTCCCAAGGAGCCCGGAGATGTAGGTAGAGCCGGGGGTAAGAGGATGAGGTGAGAGAGCTGCTGCGCTTGGAAGCTGCGTTTGCCCCGGGTGGGTACTAGGTAGGTAGTTATCCCCCTCGTATGGATCGAAGACCAAGAAGCCTCAATTAGTAATAGCAAGTCACTCGTCCATGATGCCATTCCTCAGACGGAGATTGCGTTCTTAAACGCCGTCGTGGTCTCTCTGGTCCGTTAACTCCGCGGCCAGAAATTCCGTTCGGCTTGCATACTAGGTAGACTTTCCTGCTCCCCGTTCAATTCCCCAAACCTTGATATTCTGGGAGGGAGGGGCCCAAGGCAAGGGGGCGAGCGTCTCTCGACTAAGATATCCACTGTAAATATGTATAACTTTGTTTAGAAGTAGATAGAAACTTAAGATGGCCTGACAGGTCGCCTGAAATTGGGCTGAAATCTTGCTCACTGCCTACTTTGCTAGATCCACGTTATATAAAATTCCGAATATGGACTTCTATACGGAGGGGTGTAAGAGAAAGCCATTAAAAAGCACTTATTGTCGTCGTGTGTACTGAGTGTGAAGATTTCTTGTATAATATAAATATAGCCTAAAGCCGTAAACCATAAAGGCTAGATATAGTCCAAGTTACTCCAACCGAAATATACTCGGTAAAATTAAACACAGTAACTACAGTGAGATCAAGCCTTGCTTAGAAATCATTCATAGGTCGTTGTTTCGCAAAGGACAAGTACTGCTAAGCTATTTCAAAGCAGGACAACTCATACTATATTATGTGAACAAGCCGATACATTGATTCCAATTGGGCGGATTAGTGCCGTCCAAGAACTTTGGCTACACGGCTCTGTGCTTGGATCATGGTTTCATGATTGTAAAGCAGACTTCTCCGTTGCTCCTGCCCCAGCTGACATGCCCTATTCAACACGATTCCTCAATAGCATCACAAGACATGGACCTTGACGAGGTGGTTCGCTGGCAGAAAGTCGAATCGCCCGAAGTCATTTGTCGTCGGGTTATGGATAGCAGCAGTGATTACTCAATAATGTCTTCTTTTATTTTGCTACCTACCATGGGAATTGGACAGTCTATCATAGATATCATACTACTACTGGATTATCGACAAGCACACGCCCATGCCCATAGCATTAAAGCTGTCATTTGCACCTCCAGGCCTGCTGCTTACACACAAAACGACAACCCCGAAAACACTCCCCAACTACAAGATCAAACGAACCGACAACCCATCACCCTCCCCAATGCCTCCACCAACCCCCTCGCAAACGCCGGATCATTGACCTCCTCCTCCCGCCTGACCACCTCCACCCCAGACCCCTTCAGCCCCTCCTCCACCGTCCGAAACAGGACCCCATCCGCCTCCGGATCCCAATACACGCCCCCCTCCACATCCAACATACTCAACCCGCGCGTCGGCAGCACGACCACCACCTTCTCCGGCACCTTGGCCCTCCTCAACTTCCCCACCATAAACGCCCCCACCTCCTCATTCTCTGCAGGGGACGTCCGCACCAGCGTAACCGTAGGATTATGCTCCCAGATCCGCCTTCCCCGAAACCGCTCCGGCACCGTCCCCGGCGGGCCATAGTTGACCATATCGCAGGCGCCCACACTGACCACCTGCGGGATGCCCGCTGCCGCCGCGGCGTCCAACCGCTCCGGACCAGCGGAGAGCACCCCGCCGACTAGCTCATCGACCACCTCGGACGTGGTCAGATCGATCACGGCGTCCAGCCCGCCTTCGCGGACCAACCGCTCCATGGCTTTCCCGCCGGCGCCCGTGGCGTGGAAGATGAAGACCTCCGTGGCGGTGGGGGAGGCGGCCAGCAGGGATTGGATCGCGGTGACGCAGGGGGTGGTCACGCCGAACATGGTGATCCCGATGCGTTTGGGCGGGGCGGCCCGTTGGAGTTCTGGGGCGGCGGCTGGGTTGTCTTTGGGGAGCTGCTGCTGCTGCTCGCGCCGGAACTGCACGGCGGCCATCGCGGCGGCGGCCGCCGCGGCGTTGTCCAGAATCCGGGTGAGGATCGAATTGGTGCCGGCGATGTCGACGACGCTGTACATCATGGTCAGGTCGGTTTCCTCGACGTAGGGCCCGATGTCCCCGCTGGCCATGGTGGAGACCATCACCTTCGGGAAGCCGAGGGGGCAGGCGGCGCGCATTGCCGCGGTCGCGACGGTGGTGCCGCAGCTGCCGCCGAGGGCGAGGATGCCGTGCAGCTGGTTGAGGGCGCGTAGGTGGGCGATGGTGCGCCGGGTGCGCGCGGTGGCGGCTTCGAGGTAGGATTGGCGCGGCAGCGAGGCCCAGTCTTTGGGCTCGTGGTCGTCGTTCTTGATGTCGATGTCGCACGGGGAGGGGAGGGAGGGGTGGGGGATGGTGATTTCTTCATGGTGAGAAGGCTCGCGCCCGATGTCGAGGAGGATCACGGATGGGCGGGGGTGGACGGGGGATGAGAGCAGTTGCTGGCGCGTGTGTTGCAGTTCCGCCCATTTGGTGTCGCAGGTGCCGATTAGGAGGAGGGTGGGGTGGTCTGTCATTTTGCTTGGATTGATTGTGCTGATCATTGTACTCATACAAGTAGTGGTGGTTGTTGTGTCTGATTAAATGAGATGTTCGGATGAGGGCTGGGGTGGGGTGGAGGAATGATGTATGAAGAAGAGGATATGCACGATGATGTGGTTTGCCCCTCCTCTCCTCTCAACTCCTCTTTTATTCATCCTCTACCCCTCCCAATCTCTCTCAACTCCCGTTTGTCTGCAAACCAATTACCCTCGCTCAAACGAAAATCCAACGAAAATGCGCCCAACAAACCGACAAGAAGTGCTCGCGCGTTTGCGCAAGACCATCGCCGATGGCTCCATCATCGTCGGAGCCGGAGCTGGTACCCCCACCTTCCTTTTCTCTCTCGAAACTCTGCATACCAACAGCGACTAATTCCCCGTCACACAGGAATCGGGCTCTCCGCCAAATTCATCGAAAAAGGCGGCGCCGACCTCATCCTGGTCTACAACTCGGGCCGCTTCCGCATGGCCGGCCGGGGCTCTCTGGCGGGCATGATGCCGTACTCCGATGCCAACGCGGTGGTGGTTGACATGGTAGGTCGCCCGCCCGCCTTGCCTTGCCTTGCCTTGCCTTGCCTTGCCTACCAGAAAAATAACCATGCACCAGGCCTCCGAAGTCCTCCCCATCGTGGAAAACACCCCCGTGCTCGCCGGGGTGTGCGGCACCGACCCCTTCCGCGACATGCGGCCCTTCCTGCAGCAGCTGCGCTCGCTGGGCTTCGTCGGGGTCCAGAACTTCCCGACGGTCGGGCTGATCGACGGCAAGTTCCGGGCCAACCTCGAGGAGACGGGGATGGGGTACGCGCGCGAGGTCGAGATGATCCGGCTGGCGCACGAGCTGGACCTGGTGACGACGCCGTACGTGTTTACCGTCGACGAGGGCGAGCGCATGGCGCGCGCGGGCGCCGACGTGATCGTCGTGCATCTGGGGCTCACGACTTCCGGGACGATCGGGGCGCAGACCAGTCTATCGTTGGATGAGAGCGTTCACGTCATCCAGGAGGTGAGGGATGCTGTGGCCAAAATCAACGAGGAGGTCATTGTGCTGTGTCATGGGGGGCCGGTGGCCAGCCCGGAGGATGCGCAGTATGTTTTGTCGAGGGTGAAAGGCGTGCATGGGTTCTTTGGGGCGAGTAGTATGGAGCGGTTGCCGGTGGAGAGGGCGATCGAGGAGAATGCGAGGAAGTTTAAGGGGGTTAAACTGGGTTGAGCTTACTGTGTACGGTGTACTCTGGTGGATAGGCTTGTTGTTGTTGTTGTTGTTGAGTGGATTTATTGTAACTAAATTGAGGTATCGTCGTGGTGCCGCCGGAGTGTGCCCGATTGGGGAATTTCCCGGTGTATACTTAGTATTCAGCGAGTCGCAACGCAAGTGGAGATCTCAAGCATCCAGCTGATCAACAATAATTATCCGGGGGGAAGTATATCAATTGCTGCCGACAGACACAGTCTTGACTTTCTCCCGAGTCCCCTCCACCTCTCTCCCGTTACACATTATTACGACAGCACCCAAAATGTCTGGCATCCTCGCAGGCAAACTCGCCATCATCACCGGCGGATCGCGGGGTAGGCAGGCACCTACATCAATAACGGCACACGCAACCAACTAACCCGGACCCAGGCATCGGCGAAGCGATCGCGCACAACCTCGCGCGCAAAGGCTGCTCGCTGCTCCTCAACTACACGTCGGACTCGTCGCGGGCGCGCACCGAGTCCCTCTGCACGCAGCTGGCGCGCGAGCACTCGATCCGCTGCGTGCCCGTGCAAGCCGACCTGTCCGACCCGGCGCCGGCCATCGAGCGCATCCTCAGCGTCGCCAAGGCCGAGTTCTCTACGCAGCAGCAGCAGCAACTGACGATCGACATCCTCATCAACAACGCCGGCGTCAGCAAGGACCGCTTCCTCAACGACGCGAGCAAAGGCGCCATCGACGCCGACTACTTCAACTGGCACTACACGATCAACGTCCTCGCCCCGCTCCTCCTCACCCAGGCCGTGGCCCCGTACCTGCCCCGCTCCCCCCCACGCAGCGGCCGCATCGTTAACATCTCCTCCATCTCGTCGGCGCTGGGGTTCACCGGCCAGAGCGTGTACGGCGGCACCAAGGCGGCGCTGGAGGCGATGACGCGCACGTGGGCGCGCGAGCTGGCCGACGTCGCGACCGTCAACGCCGTCAACCCCGGCCCCGTCATCGGGGACATGTACTTCGCCACGGGCGAGGCGTTCTGGCGGCAGATGCAGGGCTTCCAGGATAACACGCCGGGGAGCAAGATGGTCGAGGACGATCCGCTGGTGGGCCAGTTGACGGAGGAGCAGAAGCAGCTCATCACGGAGAAAATGGGCGGCCGGCGGCCCGGGTTCACGGCCGAGGTGGCCGGCGTGGTGGGGATGCTGTGCTCCGAGGATGCGGGGTGGTGTACGGGGAGTGTGGTGTGTGCGAATGGGGGGTTGCGGTTTACTACTTGAAAAATTAGATGATAGATAGAGTCAATTGATTTACATACTAGGTAACTTACATAGAAGGATGTTTTGAGTTGTTGTTTTCTGTGGATGTAGTAGAGAGTAGACAGGCACGTGAGGATCCCCCCCGGAGGTTATGTCATGTCATGTCATGTCACATGTCACATCACATGTGCACATGTCATCATCATTCCTTCGTCTGGACTCTGGAATCATCCTCAACGTTGCCAAATCTAATCACTGAACTCAATTCCATCCCCCAATTCTCCATCCACTTCACGTCAACTCAATCAACTACTAATTGAAACCACCGCGCAGACAGAAAAGGAACCATGTCCACCCGCAGCCTGACTCTCACCAAGCTCCCCCCGCGCTCCTCCTCCCTCCACCACCTCCCTCAATCCCGCCCATCCTTCCTCCGTCTCCGGCCGCTGTCAACAGCAACAGCAACAGCAACAGCAACAACCCCCCTGAGACTCACCCAAAAGCCCACCCTCCCCATCCGCCTCCTCCCTCGCGCCCCCCCAATCCCCCAAGGCAGAAGACCCTACACAACCGGCAAATCCACCAGCGACATCATCGTCGAAGAGCTGCAGGATCTGTACG